CATTCATATATTTGAAGTAAGAAATTTATTAGCAGCACAGTTTTTTTCGGTGTGCCTGAGAAAATAGTCAACATCATACGGAATTCTTATGATGGATTCAACTGCAAAATCGTGCACGGAGGACAGCTAACAGACTCTTTCGAGGTGAAGACCGGTGTAAGACGTCAACATCTGGAGGGAAGCACGATATCAACTGGACAGTTAGGACGCAGCTGGACGATCTGGACTTCGCAGATGACCTGGCTCTTCTATCGCACACTCAACAACAAATGCAAGAGAAGACGACCAGTGTAGCAGCAGCCTCTGCAGCAGGAGGTCTCAACATTCATAAAGGAAAAAGCAAAATTCTCCGATGCAACACAACATGCACCAACCAAATCACGCTTGATGGAGATGCTTTCGAGGACGTTAACAACTTTACATATCTGGGCAGCATCATCGACAACCAAGGTGGATCCGATGCAGATGTGAGGGTACGGATTGGCAAAGCGAGGGCTGTATTTCTACAGTTGAAAAATATCTGGAACTCCAAACAACTTTCAACCAAAACCAAAATCAGGATTTTCAATACAAATGTCAAGACAGTTCTACTATATGGAGCGGAAAAATGGAGAACTACCAAAGCCACCATCCAGAAGATACAAGTGCTTATTAACAGTTTTCTACGCAAAATACTTCGGATACGTTGGTCAGACACTTTCAGCAACAACGAACTGTGGGAGAGAACAAACCAGATTCCAGTGGATGAGGAAATCAGGAAGAAGAGGTGGAAGTGGATAGGACACACACTACGAAAAGCACCTAACTGCGTCACGAGATAAGCCCTCACATGGAACCCTCAAGGCAAAAGGAAAAGAGGAAGGCCAAAGAATACATTACGCCGAGAAACAGAGAAAGATATGAGAGGAATGAACAAACATTGGACAGAATTGGAGAGGGAAGCCCAGGAAAGAGTTGGTTGGAGAAAACTGGTGAGCGGCCTATGCTCCATTGGGGGTAACAGGCGTAAGTAAGTAAGTAAGTAACAGTTTTTTTCTCTAAAATAATTTATGATTCAAATAATCATCAGGTTAACTGCATAAACAAACAGTTGGCTGAACTTACCATTTTATGTATAGTAAGCAATGCCATAGTTCCTGAACGTGATATCATAATTGATTGAACAGGATGTGTTTCTTTAAATAATGTTCTATGATCTAATAAGCCATAATTACTTCCATTTGTTGATAGACTACTAGCATGGGCATTTGTATTTGTACTTGTTGTTGATGTAGAAAATCCAGTAGCTGGTACAGATGTTGAAACTGTAGTTAGAATAGATGCAGATCCTGTAGTATTCGTAGTAGCAGTACTACCACTACTAGTAGTAGTAGAAGTAGATGTACTTACAGTTGAACCAATATTTGTTACAGAAATAGATGAACGACCTGTAGAAACACCACTAATATCAGATGATGCAGATAATGCTAGCATTGTTGTACCACTGGCAGCAGCAACTGAATGCACTTGACGACTGTTTACACTGGCTAATGCAGCAGCTGCAGCAGCTAAAGCACGTACACCGGTTGGTGTTGTTATTGAACCCGAAGTACCAATTGGTGTAGTTGTATAAGAAGTTGAAGTTCTATCTAATGGTGCACCGAATAATATAGTTAAACTACTACCAGTAGTACCTAAATTATTTGGACCAGATGATGAGACAACAGTGTATGGATTGGAACCATGCAATGAACCAGTTGAATGCAAGATAGGTTGAAGACCTAAATGTGCTTGTAAACCCTGAGTTGTAGGTGATCCAAGCCGGGTTAAACTAACAGGCAGTATAGGCATATCCAATAAAATACCAGCTAAAATGGTAATAATAAACAATAATTATATGTAGAATAATAATAATAATAATAATAATAATAATAAATGCTTGTTTAACTGGAAATTACAAAAACTAATACACTAAAATAATAGTTGATGATAGAACTTTAAGCTTAGGGAAAATTCAACGTTGATCAAAATCAGTTCATAGTTCTGTTCAGTAGTTCTCATTTAAATTGAGGGGTGTGGTGGATTGGTTGGTTATAAGTAGTATATATTCATATATGTCTCATCTAGTCTTGGATTCTTCGTCTTATACACAACATGGTTACCGATAAATCTCAGAGGCTATGAAAAGTGCATCATGAATGGTTGATTCTTTACTCACGCTTTTGTCATTAGAATAGTTCAGGGCTGAGTAAAAAAGTTATTGAGAGTACAATAAAAGCCCAGTTTAAAAACTATTTTACATATTGTACACTTGTTGCATAGCTAAAGATGATTATTATAATCTGAATCTCTAAACAACAAACACATACACATGGTAATACTACAACATATGTGAAGTCTGGTGTTCATTGAGGAAACTCTAGGTAGGAGATGGTTTATAAATTTATTTCAGCAATTTTATGCTAAACATTCAGATCATTTCACTGCTCTTGTTAAAATGTGACTGATTGGTATAAATTTCTAGCATAAAAATGTTAAAATGCACTTTTAAAGTTGGATTCGTGTAAACACTGCTTATTGACTTAGAATATGCCGATGACATAGTCCTACTTGGTGAAGATGCTGACAAAATGCAGAGTCTTCTTGTTGTAACGGTTGCTTACGATATTTCCCGGCTAAATCTTATTGCTTAGTATTCTTGACACAAAACACTGGACAAGTAACACAAATCAAAACACGGTTGAACAGGAAGGATTGTATTCCAAAATAGCAAGGAAAAGAAGCTGGAGGTGATGGCGAAAGCCAAGGCAAAAAGGCTTGAAAGCGAAGAAGGCTAAGAAGGCGAAGATAAATACAATGCTAGTCTATTTATAGCCTTTACATGAGAAAACTTCTGGAACAAAATTCACGTGATCGACTGGGCTGGATTTGACCAATCAGCATGCAGCTAATAATACGAGAATTTTCTATCCTGTTCTCCAAGCTTCGATCAGGCGCTGATTGGATAGGAAATTAGCCAATCAGCGCGTAGTGACGTAATCATGCGTTAAATCCATTTATGTCCCACTAACACCTCCCCTTTGAGAAGATTCGTAGGATCTGGCGCTAGGGTCCAACTGCTTCCTGGGTGCCTTGCCACCCGTACTCTTACGAGCCGCCTGCTTTGTAGGAACCATATCTTTAAACAACCGTCGATTGGGCTGCTTCCCCACCGATAAGTTTTGTTGAGGCTCATGAACAGCATATGGTATAGGGCGTCTCGGACGTGAACTAGGTTTGGCATCTGCTTTCGCTGGTAGGTTAGCTTTCAGATTCGTACAGCGGCCAGGGCTATTCTGAGAAACAGAGGCTGACTTCCTCTTTCGTTTATCTTGTAACCTTTCACCTGTCTTCTTTTTAAGTATCGGGGTGTCCAATGATGAACACGATACGCTGCAGACACTGTTAATGGGTACATCCATTATTCCCAGTTTTTCTAGCATATCTAGACCAAGAAGATCAAGGTTTGGCCGTTCTGTCAGATAGCATATTCCTGCGCATTTTTTCCCGTTGAAGGAAAATTCACACTGCATCTCACCAACCAGTTTTAACACACCACCTGAAGCGCTTTTAGCTGTTTTCTTAGATGGCTTCATTGGCGGTTTTCCCAGCATGTTGTACGTTTCTCTAGACATTAAGGTGATATCTGATGCCGTGTCGATTTGGAAACGAGCTGATGCACCGTTCATTTGGATAGTAACATACTTTCTCCAAACGTCATATTCTGTTTGAAAAGCAGCTACGAGAGAAAGTGATTTAGACTCGGCTGATTTCACCACATGTCGAGTACGTTTGCGCTTCTTCTTGGGCTGAGACGTACGATCTGGTTGGCAATGGCCTTCTTTATGTCCACGTTTATGGCACATCTGACATTTATGTTTTTTAAATGGACAAAATCGTACGTAGTGCCAATCACCACATAACCAACATGCCGTCGTTGGTTTGTTACGAGATGCTATCGGCTTCTGGACTTTTAACCTAGTAATAGCATTGACACTACTGCTGGTTAAATTGTGATTTACCTGTTCAATCAACATGTTGTCGTGCCTGATACTTTGTAGGCGTTTACACTCATCTGTCAATGTTCTGAGTGTGACGTTAGGGTCTTGGTCCATTCGAATCAAAAGTCGAGTTCTGGTTTCAGCATCTTGCGGAGACTGAAGAGCTTTGATGAATATTAAGCATTTAAATTGGTCTTCCGTCAACGAGCGTAACTTGAACCGTTCACATTCTCTGTTGACGACGTCTGCAAGAACCGCATATTCATCATCTTCGTGTTTCACCAGATTTAGACAATGATATCTAATACTAGACAATGATGCTGATTCGCTGAAAATATCTGACAGCTGGGTTACTGTCTCCTCGAAACTGAGCTCTCGAGGGTACTTCGGTAATATGTGGTCAGCGTAACGTTCATACTCATTGCTTCCCAACTTACGCAGCAACAGCCGAGTCTTCCATGCATCATCTTGTTTACCGAATTCAATTCTAAATGTATCTTCCCAACGTTTGAACCACGTCAGAAAAGTATTTCCACATTCAGGATTATAGACGAATTCTGGTATGCTGTTAGCCACTGCTTCACAAGACGTATTTAAAACAGTATGGGGACTCGAACACTGGATGTTGAGCTGTTGAGTTAGGGTCTCCAACAACCGCATTTGTGCATCTAATTGTGCTTGCTGTTGTTGTAGTATTCGGTTAAGCTGATCATTTGAAATAGGCATCTTGAAATTTTTTTTCCTTTTTCTCCGTCGTCACTGTTGTAACGGTTGCTTACGATATTTCCCGGCTAAATCTTATTGCTTAGTATTCTTGACACAAAACACTGGACAAGTAACACAAATCAAAACACGGTTGAACAGGAAGGATTGTATTCCAAAATAGCAAGGAAAAGAAGCTGGAGGTGATGGCGAAAGCCAAGGCAAAAAGGCTTGAAAGCGAAGAAGGCTAAGAAGGCGAAGATAAATACAATGCTAGTCTATTTATAGCCTTTACATGAGAAAACTTCTGGAACAAAATTCACGTGATCGACTGGGCTGGATTTGACCAATCAGCATGCAGCTAATAATACGAGAATTTTCTATCCTGTTCTCCAAGCTTCGATCAGGCGCTGATTGGATAGGAAATTAGCCAATCAGCGCGTAGTGACGTAATCATGCGTTAAATCCATTTATGTCCCACTAACACTTCTGACCACCATAAGCAACAATGCGAGCATGTTCGGGATGCGGTTTTCCCCCTCGAAATGAAAAATATTGCTTCAAGACTGGGTTGCATCGGCACCTGAACTAGTGATAGGGAGTGAAGTAGTCGAACGTGTAGACCGCCTCACTTATCTTGAGAGTCTCATCAGTGCCGATGGCCTGGTGACTGACGAAATCTCAGCACGGATACAGAAGGCTCGAATGGCTTTTGCCAACCTGCGTCACTTATGGCGTAGGCGAGATATCCGTTCGCTGACTAAAGGACGAGTGTACTGTGCAGTAGTAGTTCGCTCCGTCTTACTTTATGACTGTGAAACATGGCCAGTGAGAGTAGAAGATATTCGTAGGTTACTGGTTTTCGATCATAGGTGTCTTCGAAGCATTGCTCGTATATCGTGGGACGACCGAGTGAGCAACGCTGTTATTAGGAATCGGGTGATAGGTAAGAAGTGGTGAAACTTCATCAGTTGAGGTGGTTGGGACATGTGTTGCGTATGCCCAACCACCGACTGCCTCGTCGAGCCTTGTTTTGTAGTGTAGGAATAGGTTGGAAGAAAGCTAGTGGGGGCGGCCAAACCAAAACATGGCAGAAATCCATGAAGTCATTGACAAGTGGACTTAGCCATGTCGGTAATTGTCGATTACCTGGTTGGGGTCCGCGAGATGATATTAATCGATGGTTAGATACCTTGAATGACATGGCTCAAAATCGTCTAAATCCTTCAACCCCCTAGTTTTGACTTTGTAAAGTTTTCTCACTGAATCATACTTCTTGAATAATATCTTCTAATCCTAACCTCTCCGATTACTTCTAATTCCCTTACTACCTCTTCTACTATTGGATTTGAATTGACGATTACTTCTCTGTGCTGATGTGGTATGGCGACATGAACTGATGTACTTATGTACAAAGTTCTACGTTGCATCTGACTTGACTTCTTGTAAACACTACTACTATTGATAACAGAGAATAAGGTATTTTTTTATCATAAAATAGATCAATATCTCTAGACTACACAAACTTGACGATGTTAGTCAATTGCAAAGAGTGGATCAACAGTTGTGAAACTGGTTAGTATTGTATTATCTCATTGTTTTTAACATTTTAACAACCAGTGCAAAACAATAACTCCGCCAGTAGAACCTTCGGGGCTACTGCCGGTCCCAAGCCCGGGTAAAGGAGGAGGGTTGGACATGGGGTTGGCGACCCCATTCCGTCGAAAACTAACTTGCCAAAAAAACGCTAACCAGAAAAAATAATTCAAACCATTTTAACTCTGCCCTGGGAGTTGGAGGAAGAATTATGACGTCGCGTGATGAAAGCCGAGTTCCCTCGGAAGTCACGGGGCTGATGCCTCTTCTGACAACCAGAGCAACTATTCTTTTAGGTACATGGAACGTTCGTACATTGTGGGACACTGGAAGACTATTTCAAGTTGCGGCAGAAATGAAACGATACAACCTCGAGGTGCTTGGAATCAGTGAAACGCATTGGACACAAGTAGGACAACTGAGACTAGCTTCAGGGGAACTGCTGTTATACTCTGGTCATGAAGGGGAAAACGCTTCACATACACAAGGAGTTGCATTGATGCTGTCCAAACATGCACAAAAGGCACTAATAGGATGGGAATC